GAAGCGGGGCTGCTGGGAGTAGAACCGGTGCCCATATGGGATCCCGGGTGGGCAAGGCGAGGACCTTAACCACTGCACCATCGTGCCGGGCTCAAATCTTTTTTTTTTTTTTTTAAGATTTTATTTATTTTTATTGGAAAGGCAGATATACACAGAGGAGGAACAACAGCAAGAAATATCTTCTGTCTGCTGACTCACTCCCCAAGTGACCACAAGGGCCGTAGCTAAGCCATGAAGCCAGGAGCTTCTTCCAGGTCTCCCACGTGGGTGCAGGGTCCCAAGGCTTTGAGCTGTCCTCCGCTGCTTTCCCAGTCCACGAGCAGAGAGCTGAATGGGAAGTGGGGCCGCCAGAATTAGAACCGGTTCCCTTATGGGATCCTGGCCTACGCAAAGCAAGGACTTAGCCACTAAATTGCCATGCCAGGCCTACCTTAAGTGAACCTTAAAGACACCAGTGACATAAGTGAGATGTAATTGTAGGATTCCACTTTGTGGAACCTCAAACAGCAAATTCATGTAACAGGTTGAAAATAGACAGTGGTTATCATGGATTCGTTAAAATAGAATGAGAAGTTTCATAGGTTGTGGTTTTTTTCAAGATTGATTTATTTGAAAGGCAGTTACAGAGAGAAAGAGATCATTAATTTGCTCATTCCTCAAGAGAAACTGACCAGGGCTGGAACAGGCCAAAGCCAGGACCATGATTATCCATCCGGTCTCTCATGTTAGTGCAGAGACCCAAGGATTTGGACCATCTTCTGCTGCTGCTTTTAGACACGTAAACATTGAGCTGGACCATAAGTGGAGTAGCAGGGACTTGAACTGGTAGCCATATGGGATGCCAGCTAGTAGAGGTAGCTTAAGCTACTGTCACATCAACCCCACAGTTTTTCTTTATAAATTAAATGTTTCTGCCTGGGATGATAAAAAAAAAAAACACTTAAAAATTAGTGTTTGATGGTTACAGAACAATTTGAATGTACTTATTCCACTAGATTGTGCACTTCAAAATTGTTTAAAATGGAGCCCAGCACAATGGCCTAGTTTTTGCGTGAAGTTTTTGCCTTGCACATGCCAGGATCCCATATGGGCGCCGGTTCTAATCCCGGCTGCCCCACTTCCCATGTAGCTCCCAGCTTGTGGCCTGGGAAAGCAGTCAAGGACGGCCCAAAGTCTTGGTACGCTGCACCCGCATGGGAGACCTGAAGGAATTTCCTGGCTCCTGGCTTCAGATGTGCTCAGCTCCAGCCGTTGCAGTCACTTGGTGAGTGAATCATCGGACAGATATTCCTCTCTGTCTCTTCTCTCTGTATATCTGACTTTGCAACAACAACAAAAAAATCTACAAGAAAGAATGTTAAAAACAAATAAAATAAATAATAAAATACAAAAAGTCTTTAAAAATTTTTTAAATATAAATATTATATGTACATTATACCACAGTATTTTTTAAAGGTTTATTTATTTTTGGAAAGTCAGATATACAGAGAGGAGGAGAGACAGAGAGGAAGTTATTCCGTCCGATGATTCACTCCCCAAGTGAGCACACGGCCGATGCTATGCCGATCCTAAGCCAGGAGACAGAAACTTCCTCCTGGTCTCCCACACAGGTGCAGGGTCCCAAGGCTTTGGGCCATCCTCTACTGCCCTCCCAGGGCACAAGCAGGAGGTGGATGGGAAGTAGAGCTGCCGGGATTAGAACTGGCACCCATATGGGATCCCGGCGCGTTCAAGGCGAGGACTTTAGCCACTAGGCCATGCCACCTGGCCCATACCACAGTATTTTTAAAATCATTGTCATGGATGATCTTTTGGTTCAGCAGGTGATATCACCACCTGCAACAATGGCGATCCAGTTCAAGCTCTAGATACTCCACTACTGGTCCAACTCCTTGTCGGTATGGCTTGGAAGGCAGTAGAAATGCCTCAAGTGCTTGGGGCCCTAACCATGAGAGACCTGCATGGAGTTCCAGACTCAGGCCTGTCCTAGGTTTGGCCATTACAGCCATTTGGGGCGTAAACCAGCAGATGGAAAATTTCTGTATGTGTGTGTGTGTTTCCTTTGCTGTAACTCTGCCTTTCAAATAAATAAATAAATCTTTGTTTAAAAAAAAACTCATGATCATACTTCTGTGGGTCTATTTCTGGACTCTATTCTGTTCCATGTTCTACATGTCTTTCTAATTAGCTGGTACTAAATTATCTTTATGGCTTCATGTACACTAGGTTTTGAAATGTATAGCCCTCTTTATGTTTTCTCTGACTGTTTTTGTTTTCTTCCTTGGTATTAGTAAGCTTATTGGACTACACTGTGTTTAATTTATTTTAGAGATTTTTTAAAGATTTATTTATTTTTATTGGAAAGTCAGATAAACAGAGAAGAGACAGAAAAAGATCTTCTGTCCATTGATTCACTCCCCAAATTGCCGCAACAGCTGGAGCTGAAGTGAGCTAAATCCAGGAGCCCAGAGCCTCTTCTGGGTCTCCCATGTGGAGACAGGATCCCAAGGCTTTGAGCCATCCTCTACTGCCTTCCTAGGCCACAAGCAGGGAGCTGGATGGGAAGTAGAGTCGCCAGGACATGAACCAGCACCCATATGGGATCCACTGCACTGGGCCCGAGGTTTTGTTTTTGTTTTTGTTTCAAATATTTATTTATTTTTTTATTATTGGAAAGGTGGATTTACAGAGAGGTGACTGAAAAAATCCTTCATCTACTGATTCACTCCCTAAGCAGCTGCAAGAGCCAGTGCCGAGCCAATCCACAGCCAGAATCCAGGAGCTTCCTCCAAGTCTCCCATACGGGTACAAGATCCTGAAGCCCTGGGCCATGCTCTACTGCTCTCCCAGACCACAAACAGCGAACTTAACGGAAAGTGAAAGCTGGAACAAAAACCAGCACCATGTAGGATCCCAGCACGTGCAAGGCGAGGATTTAGCCACTGACCCATTACACCAGGCTCTGGGGCTCTGTTTTTTGTTTGTTTGTTTGTTTTGTTTTGTTTTGGGGGGTTTTTTTTGAGTTTATAGTTTTTAGACTTTCTTTAAATTTTAAGGTATTTATTTATTTACTTGTTTAAAGCAGTTACAGAGAGAGATCATCCATGTACTGATTGATTCCCCAGATATCCTCACCAACCAGGCTTGTGTGGTTCCACAGTCAGTTGCTTCTCCCAGGTCTCCAGCAAGGGCGCAAGGCCCACGTGCTCTTGGACTCATCTGTTGCCTTTCCCAGGCCATTTGGGAGTTGGGAGCATATGTCGCATATGTGTCACTTTGTGGATATTTAGTGATCATCTTTATCTCACCAGAATTTTGATCATTGATTCTATCATTTTCCTCTTTAACTTAAGCTCTGTGTATTAGCTTCAGTGATTTCTGTCTTGTCTCAAATTTACTGATCTCTTTATTGTATGTTTTTCTTTGAAACATTCTGAAGTAAGTTTTTTTTTATTTCAGACATCCTTTATTTCAAGCGTTCCCTTTTTTATCTTTTATTCTTCTTCATATTTTTCTAACTCTAAAGACCTTTGCTATCTTTTTGGTTTTTGAAGGTTTTCTATTGAAGAATTTTTCTGCTGGGTCACAGTTTCCTGCAATTTGGCATGTGTAGAAAAAGATTTTTTTTTTTATACAAGACATTGTAGTTATCACAATTCATCTGTTTATTGTTTGTTTCCTTGTAAATAGCTGTAATCTAACTTGTTTGTATACCAACTTGAATTTTTTGAAACTTTGTTGTTAAGCTTAGTTGGGTCTGCCCTTGGTTCCAGGTATAAATAGGTTTTACAAAAGTAAGTTTAACCTTCTGGAATCTGTTGAATGCCTCCAATTTATTTAATACTTTTTAGCCTGCTTGATGGAATCTGGTTATTCTTTATTCCTGTAAGCTCCAGGAATCATTCTCCTTCATGTTCTCTAACAATTCTTTGTTCAGCCAAATAGAGTTTTAAACGCACAAATTAACCATTTTGTAATATTAGTGAAAGAAACTTACAGATTTCTAGTTTAATCTTCATAGCTTTTGATACCCTGTTCCATGAATTCTTGCCTCTTTGTACTCTGGTCTTCTAATCTCTTTTTTTCTGCAACACTTTAGCCATTTTTTGCTTATTTCCACTTGTTCACCATAGTCATTATTAGGCAAGATTGGTGTATAACTTTTTTTTTTTTAGTTTTCTTAAAGATCCTAATTTTCAGTGTTTCCTGACCAGTGGAACCACTAAGAGAGTGATGCAATGCTGTTCAGCAGCAGCAAGAACTACCAGAGATAGTTTGGTCGAGCATGTCCGTTTATTGTAAAGCAAACACAAACTTATACAGACTAAGAAAGGGGAAGGCAGAAGGGTGTCTGTCGACAGTTCTCCCACCCAGCAACAACACTAGTTGGCTAGAGGGCATTGCTTTCTCTCTGGACCCTCCAATCATGTAGTAGGTCACATGCCACACACATGGCTGCAGATATGCTGCAGGTCACAGGCAGGCAGGCTCTGGGTCACGTACAATGTGTAAACTGGCAGGTAACGTGGACCACACCTGACTTCTCAGAGTTGCTTATCAAAGAAGTCCCAATACACCCCTTCCAAGGACAAAGAAGAGAGACTGGGGTGCAGCCCACTGATCTCACTTCTATGACCAGTGAATAGGCCAGGTTGAGGTCTTGGATGGTAAGACCTTTGTCACAGAATTCCCCTGGGGACACGGTGTGACACATCCAGACCTTCCACAGAACAAGCAGAGAAACGGTGGAGATCTCACACAACAATACTGCACTGTTGTCCCACATTTGGTAATAATTTTAATTGATTATTCTTTCTAGGTTTCTAGTAGGTTACCATCTCTGTTAACTTTTGTCAGAAAGACAAGTCTGGTATCAGTTATTCCAGGTTGGGTAGATGAGAAAGTCCTCATATCCCTTTAATTGCTGTGATGTTTTCTAGACAACTATTTTCAGGGAAAAAAAAAATTCAATACAGTTATCTTTAAACTTCTGTTTTTAGCTTTACTGAAGCTCCAGTTGAAATTCCCAGTCCTTCTGACACCCCAGCCAAACCTCCCGAACCTGAAAGTACCTTGCAGCCTGTTCTCTGTCTCATCCCAAGGGAAAAGAAGGCCCCACGTGCCCCAAAGAAGAAATATCAGAAAGCAGGGCTGTATTCTGATGTTTACAAAACTACAGAGTAAGTAGTGCTACCTACCAGCTGCTTGTTAATCCTGCTTTTCTATGCTTGAAAAAAATTGGTTATGAAAAATAATATAAATGCAATGTGCACAGATATCAAACACCTCAATGTTCACTCTACCTGTTATACTGTGTTGTGTTGAAGATGACTGATAATCTTCTCTGCCTTTCTAGATATAATCTCATCACTGAGATTACTTTTTTAAAGATATATTGATTTACCTGAAAGGCAGAAAGACTAAAGAGTACACAAGGTAGAAGAGAGAGCTTCCACCCCACAACAGACAGGCTGGGCTAGGAATCGCATCAGGGCCATGTGAATGGCTGAGCCCCTTATACTTGGGCTAACAGCTGTTCTCTCATGTAGTTATTTTCTTTTTGTTTGAAAGACTGAACTCTTGTGTACTGGCTCAGTCCCCAAATGCTCATAACATCCAGGGCTGAGCCAGAATGAATCAGGGAGCCAGGAATTCAGTCCAGGCCCCCATGTGGGTAGCAGGACCCAAAGTACTAGAGCCAACACTGCTGCCTTCCAGGGTGTGTATTACCAGAAACCTGGAATGAAGACAGAAATTAACCCAAGCACAAAATGCAGGCATCGAAACCTTCGTGCCAAACTCCCGCCCCAGTGCCTTTTTGGTTGAGAATAACTGTGTAACTTATATTATATGCAGCTAATATTTGCGTATGTCATTGATTGAATATTATGTTCGAAAAAAATAGTGAAATGAATAAAATCCTTACTTTGAAGAACTTCATATTCCTTTGGCACTCCTTATTTTTAAATTTTTAAACCCCCAAAGAGATAACTATGTCATCAAATAGGAAATATTTACAGAGTATGACTTAATTAGATTTGGGGATTTAGTAGGTTTTTGTGTGTGTGTGTGTGAGGTATAGAATGATATTCCAGTCAGAGAAAACTACATGTGAAAAAAAAAATGCCAGAGTGAAGAAAACTCATGTGTCACAACAACTCTGTAGTTCAGGACTTTTAGAAAGCAGAGGCCTCATAAAATAAGCATTTTCACAAGGACACTTAACTGTGATTTCTACTGACTCTAAGATCATTACACTACAATATATGAAAAATTATATTGTTTACAAATGTAGGAAGGTATAGACTTGCTTTTTACAGTCATTACAAAAGGATGAAACAAAGTATTAAGTCATGAGGGTAAGAATATAAGTTTAAAAAGAAGTCATTGAAAGAGGCACAGTTATATTTTAGAGATACATCACAGTCATTCAAGTAATCAACATGTAAGCCATACCACTTTGTTTTGCCCTGAGGATATTTTTCATTGATTTTTTTACTGAGATAACTATCAGTTATTGTCCTCTATATCCATCTCCTAAGTCATGAGAATGTTTTATTAGTGAAATTTACATTTAGCTGTTAATAGGCAGTCATCTCAAATAACCTTGACTTTTAGGGGCTAATGCAGTGGCTCAAATGGCTAATCCTCCACCTCTAAGTGCAGCATTCCATATGGAAACAAGTTCATGTTCCAGCTGCTCCAGTTATGATCCAGTTTCCTGCTTATGGCCCAGAAAAACAGCACAGATTGGCCTAGTACCTTTGGATCCTGCACCCGCATGGGAGACTCAAAAGGAACTCCTGGCTGCTGACTTTGGATTGGCTCAGCTGCTGCTCTTACAGCCTTTTGGGGAGTGAACTGGTGGATGGGAGATCTTTCTCTCTTGTCTCTCCTCTCTGTAAATCTGTCTTTCCAATGAATATTGATAAATCCCAGAAGATTTTCCTTTAAGAGAAATTATAAATTAATATGCAATTCAAAGTTATTATGGTGCCTTTTTACTGTCTTTCAAAACCTAGCATAGGTATTAAGATGCTACTTGAGGAACCACATTCTGTATTAGGCTGGCTGGGCTTGAGTCCTGCTCCAACTTTTTTTTTTTTTTTTAAACATTATTTTTATTGCAAAGTCAGATATCCCACTCTAATCTTTCTTTTTTTTGTAAGATTTACTTATGCTTATTGCAAAGTCAGTTATATAGATAGGAGGAAAGACAGAGAGAAAGACCTTCTGTACATTGATTCACTCCCCAAGTGGTCGCAATGGCTGGAGCTGCACCAATCTGAAGCCAGGACACTGGAGCCTCTTCCAGTTTTCCCACATGGGTGCCAGGTCCCAAGGTTTGGGGTTGTCCTCGATTGCATTCCCAAGTCATAAACTGGATGGGAAGCGGGACCAACATGATTAGAACTGGCCCCCATATGGGATCCCAGCCACAGCTTCCATTCTGTGAGAGGGTGATAGTCTGTTATATGATGGTGGTAAACAGTTGGTTCTGTATACTGAACTGTTCACTAAATTATAGCGTTTGATAGGTTAGGTGAATTAAATGTGCCTTCAACTTGAAATATTCTGAGCTTGCAGTGGATCTTGGGAACATATCTTCTTCGTAAGTCAAAGAGCTTCTGTATATAGTTTAACAGTTCTGAAATTTTGCTTTCATGGGAGCCGTATTTTGAGATAGATAAGCATACCTGATTTTCCACAGTGTGGATTATGTTGTCAAACTCTTAAATATTTACCAGTCACACGGATAGAGATAGTCTCTCCAGAGAGTATTAACTTATATTTTTCTCATAAATAAAACTGCTGAGCATCTTTCACATGGGTGAAGACCATTTAATTATCTTTCAGTGAACCATCTGTTCATATTTGTTTCTCTACTTTTCTGTCAGGCATTGGTCCTTTTTCTTTAGATTTTTAATAGTCCTTTGTATGTTGGGAAACTTTTCCTTTTGTCTTTGAAAAATTTGAAAAAGATTTTATTGATTTGTTACTTGTATTTTATGCATATTGGCTGTGTCCAACATTATGTTAGTTAGCAATATGTTGTTGCTGATAAAATATTGTGTTTAGGGCAAAACACAATGGCTCAGTGGCTATATCCTTACCTGAAAGCACCAGGATCCCATATGGGTGCCGTTTCACTCCCCGGCTGCCCCACATCCCATCCAGCTCCCTGTGTGTGCCCTGGGAAAGCGATCAAGGATGGCCCAAAGCTTTGGGACCTAGACCCCCGATGTGGGAGACACGGAAGACTCTCCTACCTTCTGGCTTTGGATCAGCTTAGCTCTGGCTATTGCATTGTTTTTGGAGGGAACCAACAGGTAGAAGATATTTCTTTGTCTCTCCTTTTCTCCATAAATCTCATCTGCCCTTCCAAGAAAAATAAGTTAAACAAACAAACAAAAAACAACTGGCCATAGCACAATGGACTAGCAGAGTCCCCGCATTGAACACACCAGAATCCCATATGAGCACTGGTTCTAATCCCGGTGGCCCAGCTTCCCATCCAGCTCCCTGCTTATAGCCTGGCAAAACAGGTGAGGATGGCCCAAAGCTTTGGGACCCTGCACCCATGTGGGAGACCCAGAAGAGGCTTCAGTCACCTGGCTTCAGATTGGTGTAGCTTCAGCCATTGCAGCCACTTGGGGAGTGAATTATTGGACAGAAATTCTTCTTCTCTGCCTCTCCTCTCTGTATATCTACTTTTCCAATAAAAATAAATAAATCTTTTTTTAAAAAAAAAACTTTAAGGTGCTAAATATGGTAATAGGTTTGTAATAAAATTTGAAATTAGGAAATAGGATTTTTCCATTTTGATTTCTTTGTCTTTTTGTTTAAGATTTTTTGGAAAAGATTTATTTATTTTTATTGCAAAGTGAGATATGCAGAGAGGACAATCTTCCGTCTGGTGGTTCACTCCCCAAGGGGCTGCAACAGCTAGAGCTGAGCCAATCTGGAGCTGGGAGCCAGGAGCTCTTCCGGGTCCCAAGGATTTGGGCCATCCTCGACTGCTCTCTTAGGCCACAAGCAGGGAGCTGGATGTGAAGTGGGGCAGCTGGGATTAGAACCGGTGCCCAGGCCCAGGGCGGTGGCACAAGTGGTTGGGGTCCTCGCCTTGCACGCCCCGGGATCCCATATGGGCACCGGTTCTAATCCCGGCAGCCCTGCTTTCCATCCAGCTCCCTGCCTGTGGCCTGGGAAAGCAGTCGAGGACGGCCCAAAGCTTTGGGACCCTGCACCCATGTGGGAGACACGGAAGAGGCTCCTGGCTTGGGATCGGCATAGTATCGGCCCGTTGCACTCACTTGGGGAGTGAATCATCGGGCGGAAGATCTTCCTCTCTGTCTCTTCTCTCTGTATATCCGCCTTTCCAATAAAAAAATAATAAAAATAAGTCTTTAAAAAAAAAAAAGAAAAAAGAACCAGTGCCCATATGGGATCCTGGTATGGGCAAGGCAAAGATTTTAACCACTATGCTATCACACAGGGCCCTGTTTAAGATATTTGCTAGCTCTAGATTCCTTGCAATTTCCATGTGATTTTTTTTTAATTAATTTTTTTTTAATAATCTTACTTAGTAGATTAGGGTACAAAGGGTCAAGGGCTACAGGAATGTGGGTAATACCATTTCCATGTGAATTTTATAATCATCTAAAATTGATCTGACCTAATACGTAAGATACTGTTCAGTTCCATTTTGATCTTAAAATTCTTTTTAGAATAAATTATTTTTTATTTTGTTTACATACTTGGTAAGGATACACATCCATAAGGACCACTCATTGGAGTGGCAAGGGTCGAGGCGTGAGGAAAGGTGAGTGGGACAAATGGTTCCAGTTTTTCTTTTCTTCCCTTTTCTCCTGTGTGGGGGAAGGCAGTTGCCAAGCCACGCCCAGTTGCCAGACTGAATCAGGGATGGATAGTTATCTTAATAAAGATTCCACTTGTTCTTTAACCATTTTTATAGTTTTTAGTATGTACCTCTTGATAAATTGATTTCTAAAGTGTTTTCTTTTAATGCTATTAATCGGTAAATGGAACTGAGATTTTTTTAAATTAATTTTTAGACAGTTACATACTAGTGTATAGAAGTACATGGAAGACACAAGACAACTGAACAGTGCCCTATAACCATTTTAAGGTTTATAGCAGCCGGTTGCGTAGAAACTGAAATTGAGATGTCAGTGAAATAGTTGCAGAATGTGGTTAAGAACTTGCATTTTCTAACATTGGTCACTCAATAAATACCATGTTAATTAACTTTATGATGTTAATTTCGATGTTTCTTCCTGTTGTTGAAGTTGTGTAGTGACATCTCATTGGAGGAAATGATATTCTACCAGCTCTACTTTCAGACTAAGGATGGTCTCCCAATGAAACTATTGAATTTATCTGGATAATAAGATGCTGGACTCTCCATATGGTCCACACCTGCAGTGAAGGAGTCATGACTGGAAATGATCTGTACTACTGTAACAATATGGAAGAATTCAATATGGGGGCGCAGTGTTCAGGGAATTCCATGGCCTATGAAACTGTGTCATAAAATGAAATAATAAAAACGTGCATTTGGGGTGGGCTTTTGATAAAATGGCTTTTGACACGCCTTAAGGTTATAATGGACTTGAAAAATTCCATTTTCTTTGCCTAGTAATGTCATTAGTCATCAAACAACATAGAACAACTCATCACAGATTTGTGATGATGCTTGTGTAAACAAACCTGCACTGCTAATTGTATGAACTATATCACTTAAAATTATGTCAGTTTAATAAGCTCCTCGAAGACCTCTCATAGTACCTCCCTCAGGATTGTTCTATCCTACTCACATTCCATTGAGATGTAGTTATTTCCAATGAATAGCCTCCTGGATTCTTTGTAAAATACTTAATGTCCACCCTGACCTAGTAGGACCCATTTTTCTAGTCTTAACTGGCTTTTGCTGTTGTTTAAAGATCCATTTGAAAGTCACAGTTGGGCCCAGGGCGGTGGCGCAAGTGGTTGGGGTCCTCGCCTTGCACGCCCGGGATCCCATATGGGCGCCAGTTCTAATCCCAGCAGCCCTGCTTCCCATCCAGCTCCCTGCCTGTGGCCTGGGAAAGCAGTCGAGGACGGCCCAAAGCTTTGGGACCCTGCACCCGCATGGGAGACCCGGAAGAGGCTCCTGGCTTCGGATCGGCATAGCATCGGCCTTTGCGCTCACTTGGGGAGTGAATCATCGGGCGGAAGATGTTCCTCTCTTTCTCTCCTCTCTGTATATCCGCCTTTCCAATAAAAATAAAATAAATCTTTAAAAAAAAAAGAAGGTCACAGTTAAAGAAAAGTAGGGGTGGTCGTCCATCTGCTGGTTTACCCCCAAGCATCCACAGTGCCCACAGATGGGCCAGTCCTAAGCCAGGAGATTTTTCTAGGTCTCAAAGGGTAAAGGGTCCCAAGTACTTGCCTTCCCAGTCATATTAGCAGGAAATTTGCTCAAAGGTGGAGCAGTCAAGACTCCTCTAACCAGTGCAAACCGCCCACATGATGCTAGCCCCTCTAGTCTTAAGTATTGTCATTATATTTAAATATTCTTTTCTTTAGCAAACCAGCTTATCGCTCCATTTCTCATACTTTGTCCATCCTACATGGCTTGGTGCATGTGTGTGTTGGGAGTTTCCTTGGAGTTCATCTTTGGTTTGATAGTAAAGGTGCATATTGCATTGTATCTTCATATCTGGATATGATAGTCTCTATTACATAGTTACTATTATATCCCCTTAAATGAAAAAGCATAAAACAAAATCAACAACAGGAAGAAAAATAGAAAATATTCAACAATATGAAGTTAGGTAACATGCTTCTGAATGACTAATGTGTCACCATGCAATGAAAAAGAAAATCAAAATTTCTTGAAAACAATGCTATTCTGTGACTTATGTGTCACTGAAGGTTAACAAGAAAAAAAAAAGGTCTGAAGAAATTAAAATAAAAACATATATCAAAATCCACCAGATGCAGCAAAAACAGTATTGAGAGGGACATTTATAACATTGGGTGCTTACAAAAATTAAGCACCCAATTATCTCAAGTAAATAATCTAATAATGCATCTCAAGGACTTAAAAAATGAACAGGTAGCTAGAAATGGTAAAAATCACAGCAAAAAAAAAAAAATGACATTGTGCAACACGAAAGAGCCATTTTTTAAGAAGCAAAACAAACTTTTAGACAGACTAACAAAAAGAGAGAGCGAGAAAAGCCAAACAAAAATAGAGAAGAAAAAGAAATCATCCTAAGAAACTAATAAGGCGATCTCTTCTTGCTGATTTGCCTTTCACTTTTAAAGATAAATTTTTAAAAATTTCTCTCCAAGTTGCAATTAATTTTTGTCTACTTTTTGTTATGTGGAATAAGTCCTTATAGAAATCAGTATGATAGATTTTATTGCATTCCAATGTGATCAAAGATATTTGTGCATATTATTGTTCCATAAAAAAGAATAGCATACTTTAACTTACATGTCCTATAGTACCTGTCAGCATCTTTTTTCTTTTTTTTTTAGTTAATTAGTTAATTTGAGAAACAGGAAGTAAGCAATTGCCCATGCACTGGTTCACTCCCCAGGTGCCCACAACATGCTAGTGCCAGAATGCGTGGGCTGTAAACTCAGTCCACATCTCCCACACAAGTGGCAGCAACTTGCTTACTTGAACCACCACTGTTGTTCCCAGCATTCACGTTAGAAGGAAGCTGGAATCAGGAGTAACTACACTAACTATTTATCCTCCATTTTTTGTATGTGTTATGAAATAGTGTCAACCATATGAATTCCTAAAATATAATGTAATTGGCTTTAAAGTTTTTTAAAAGCTTAAAGAGCATGTGGTAATAATTATTATTTTGATTCATCATTTTCACATTCACCAAAGGTAGACATTTCAAAATGAAGTATAGATTTTGCTTTGAAAGTTTGTAGTATATATGTGCTCACACATACATATTTATATGTTTAAAAATGTATCCAAAATAGTGCTGATGTAGTTAAAATTTGTTGTGCTTGTTTAAACTGTACCGCCATTTACATAAAATTTTCCATACATTCTCATTGAAATCAGCTGTTATATTTGGTTTAATTGTATGTGTGCCATAGACCTAGATTGTTGTGCTTCAAATCACCAGTAGTCTTCATGAGTATGTTGTTTTCCACTAGAAAAATGTTTTAACTCTAATAAGAGGTGGGATTTTTTTTTTCCGTTCATTAGGACTTTTTTTTTAAGTGAGATACTCAGCAAGGAGGAGAGACAGAGAGGAACATCTTCTGTCCTGTGATTAACTCCCCAAGTGCTCACAATGGCCAGAGCTGAGCTGTTCCGAATCTAGGAGTCAGGAACTGCTTCTGGGTCTCCCAGGAGCGTGGCATGATAGCTTAGTGACTAAATCTTCACCTTGCATATCCAGTGGGATCCCTGTGGGCACTGGTTCTGCTCCCAGCTGCTCTACTTCCCATCCAGCTCCTTGCTTGTGGCCTGGGAAAGCAATGGATGGCAACTGAGTGCCTTGGGACCCTGCACCCACATTGAAGACATTGAAGACCTGGAAGAGGATCCTAGCTCCTGGCTTCAGATTCACTCAGCTCTGCTCCAGCTATTGCAGCCACTTGAGGAGTGAACTAGTGGATGGAGGAACTTTGCATATTTCTTTCTGTGTATTTGCCTTTGCAATAAAAATAAATAAATAAAATGAATCTTTAAAAAAAAAAACTAATTTAGGGGCCAAGCAAGATAGCGAAGTGGTTAAGGTCATCGCCTTTCATGCGCCAGGATCCTATATGGTCGCCAGTTCTAATCCCAGTGGCCCCATTTCCCATCCAGCTCCCTGTTTGTGGCCTGGGAAAGCAGTTGGAGATGGCCCAGATCCTTGGGACCCTGCACCCACATGGGAGACCCGGAAGAGCTCCTGGCTCCCAACTTCAGATTGGCTCAGCTCTAGCCGTTGTGTTCACTTGGGGAGTGAACCATCAGACGGAAGATTGTCCTCTCTGTCTCTCCTCCTCTCTGTATATCTGACTTTCCAGTAAAAATAAATAAATCTTTTTTAAAAAACTAATTTAACTTGATATAATGTAATCAGTATAATGTCTGAAATTTGGTCTTCTGCAGTGCTTTTGAAGACAACCAAAAAACCATTTTCTGAAATGTGGTTGTTTACAGAAGTATGATTTCTCAAATATATGAGAATACTTGATGCTCTTTTCTCAAAGTATTTAAGGCTTAATTCACTGTTGAAACAAGTGTTATTGATTTTTTTCCCCTTCTTTTCTAATCACAGTCCAAAGAGCCGATTGATCCAGTTCAAGAAAGAGAAACTAGAGTATACTCCAGGAGAGCATGAATATGGATTATTCCCAGCCCCGATTCATGTTGGTGAGTTCTTAGTCCACATAATTTATTATGGAGAAGAAGTGGCATCTTTTGTGTGTATTTGAAGGATATACCATTTTGTTACTGTTATTATTCCTGTCTCTGCAGTGGAGTTCAAGTTTTTGACCATTTAGTTTTATACTTGCTCTTAAGAATTCTGTATATTATTTGATAAAGTATAAAAACATACAGCTTCTTCGTTGTAGCTTCACTAAGTAATACTGTATCTGTAGCTTTTGATTCCCAAAGTATTCTAATTTTTTTTAAAGATTTATTTTATTTTTCTTTTAAGATTTATTTTTATTGGAAAGGCAGATATACAGAGAGGAGAGACAGAGAGGAAGATCTTCCATCCGATGATTCACTCCCCAAGTGAGCGCAACGGCCGATGCTATGCTGATCTGAAGCCAGGAGCCTTTTCCGGGTCTCCCACGTGGGTGCAGGGTCCCAAAGCTTTGGGCTGTCCTCCACTGCTTTCCCAGGCTACAGACAGGGAGCTGGATGGAAAGCGGGGCCGCCGGGATTAGAACCGGCGCCCATATAGGATCCCGGGCGTGCAAGGCGAGGACCTTAACCACTTGCGCCACCGCACCGGGCCCAGATTTATTTTATTTTTTATTGGAAAGGCGGATATACAGAGAGGAGAGAGAGAGAGGAAGAACTTCCATCCGATGATTCATTCCCCAAGCAGCCGCAATGGCCATAGCTGAGCCAATCTGAAGCCAGGAGCCTCTTCTGGGTCTCCCGCGCGGGTGCAGGGTCCCAAAGCTTTGGGCTTTGGGCCGTCCTGGGCTGCTTTCCCAGGCCACAAGCAGGGAGCTGGATGGGAAGTGGGGCTGCCGGGATTAGAACTGGCGCCCATATGGGATCCCGGGCGTGCAAGGCGAGGACCTTAACCACTACACCATCGCACCAGGCCCCCAAAGTATTCTATTTACGAAGCATCAAGTTATTTAGCAGTTCATTTACAAATATTTTCCATGTTCAAAAAGAATGAACTGATTTGTTGATTCTTACTAAAGAAACCCTGCTGTTTTTTATGATTACAAATTAGCTTGAATAATTGAACATGGATTTTCCAGGCAATTCATTTTTCCTGATGATGTCAAAGCTTTAATACTTTCTGGCTTTCCATTTTTGAGTTTGTGCCCAATTAGAAAAAAAGTATCTAAAAATCATCTTAGATTCTTCCCATTTTCAACCCTAAATCCGACCTGTCTCCGAGTTTTATTATTTACCTCTCAGAATGTGTTAACAGTTCTTTGTAAGTTCCAGCCCCATCAATCAAATCCTACCACTATAACCTTGGTGAGGGGATTAGTCTCCTGCTACCATAGTCCATTTTCCTCTGAGTAAATACCTGAGGCTGGGTAAATTATAATAGAAAGAGGTTCCTGGAGCTGTCATTTGGCACAATAACCAAATACAATACCAGCATCCAATATAGGCACTGGTTCAAGTCCCAGCTGCTCCATTTCTGATCCATCTGCCTGTTCATGTGCATGAAAAAGCAGCAGAAGGTTGCTCAGGTACTTGGCCCTCTGCTATTCCCAAGAGAGACCCATAGAGTTTTTGGCTCCTGGCTTCTGTCTGACCCAGCCCACCCATTTCAGCCATTCTGCTGGAGTGTAGCAATAAATGAAAATATTTTTCTGTTTCTCCATAACACTGTATTTCTTGACTCTACCTTTTGCATGCATAAGTCTACATAAGTCTCTTTCTGCTTTCTTGAGTAAATCAGATGGACCAGACAGAATTCGTAGCTCTGGAGCATAGTGCCTCATATTTTGTTCTTGGTAAGAGCCCATGATAAATTATATTTCCTAGAATGGGAATGTGCATAAAACCTGTAAACATCGTGGGTAAACAGATTCATCATGACCCACCTTCACGATAAGTAATCTAATCCCACAATACTCAAATGTTGTTCTTGAGACATAATCTAATCTGAAGAGACATAAACTAGATCCTTGAGGAAAAGAACCTGTGTACTCTGATCTCACAACTCTCAAAACCATTATTTTGGTAATCAAATTTCTTCTTTTTTTCTTTTTTTTTTTAAGATTTATATTTTTTTATTGCAAAGTCAGATATATAGAGAGAAGGAGAGACAGAGAGGAAGATCCTCCATTCAATGATCCACTCCACAAGTGACCTACGGAGTGGTCACTTTCAGCTTGGCTATGCCGATCCGAAGCCAGGAGCCAGGAACCTCCTCCAGGTCTCCCACCTGGGTTCAGGGTCCCAAGGCCTTGGGCTGTCCTCGACTGCTTTCCCAGGCCACAAGCAGGGAGCTGGATGGAAAGTGAAGCTGAGCTTCCGGGATTAGAACTGGCGCCCATTTGGGATCCTGGCGTGTTGAAGGACTTTAGCCGCTAGGCCACGCCTACAGGGGGGATCAGATTTCATCATGAGGGGCCAGCATAGTGGTTTGCAAGCTAATCCTCCGTCTGTAACACTGGGATCCAATATGGCTTGCCAGTACCTGTTCCAGCTTCTCTAGTTCTCATCCAACTCCCTGTCAGTGACCTCGCAAAGAACAGAGGATGGCCCAAGTCTCTCACCTGCACCCTTGTGAGAGATCTGAATGAAGTTCCTGGCTTCTAGCATTGGATCAGCTCAGCTCTGGCATTGAAGCCATTTGCAGAGTGAACCAGTGTATGAAAGATCTGTCTCTTCCTCCCTCCTTTCCTGTCCTCTCCCTCTGTCCTTCCCTCTTTGTAAATCTGCCTCTCAGATAAAAATAAATATTTTTTAAAAATTCAAACTATATCTAAACCAGAGTGTCTTCTAATCTGTCCACTTACTTACATCCAATCTACTTTGTATGAAGGAGAAAAGAGAAAATATTTTCTATGTTAACACAGTTCATACTTAAAATCTTCCAGTGGCTTACCATCACACTAAAATATGAACTCTTTTCCTGTGGCTTGTAGAAGTGATCTCTCTCTTGAGGTGGGTGTTAATGGTGCAGCCAGCTAAGCTACTGCCTAGAATGTTCCTGTTTCTGTATCAGAGTGCTGGTTCAACCTTTGCTACTAACCCAGATTCCTTCTAATGCATCATGGGAGGCAGCAGTTGATATTTACCTACCTATGAGCATCTACCACCCCCTGAGAGACCCAAGTGGAGATCTGGGTTCTTGGATTTAGCCTGGCCCACCCACCCTGTCTGTTACAGATATTTGAGGAGTAAACTGGCATGTACAAAATAACTCACTCTTTTTTCCTTTAAGATTTACTTTGATTTTTATTGGAAAGGCAGATATACAGAGAGAAGGAGATACAGAGAGAAAGATCTTACATTCACTGATTCACGCCTTAAGTGACTGTAACTGTCGGAGCTAAGCCGATTCGAAGCCAGGAGCTTCTTCCAGATCTCCCACGTGGGTGCAGGATTCCAAGGGTTTTGGGTTGCTCTCAACTGCTTTCCCAGAACACAGACAGAGAGCTGGATGGGAAGCAGGGCCACCTGGATTAGAATCTGCACCCAGATGGGATCCTGGCACATGCGATGCAAGGACTTTAGCCAGTAGACTACCGTGCCTGGTATTTTATGAAAACTAGTTTATAACTGGTGTGTATATAGTGAGTAAATAACAAAAAAGCCAAAGATTTGTTATTTATTTCAAAGGTACTGCCACAGAGAAAGAGGTCTTTCATCCATTGGTTCTCTCCTGAAATGGCCTCGTTGGCTCTTGGACTAATCAACAGCCAGGAGTCAGGAGCTTTTTGGGTCCTCTTCATTGGTGAAGAAGCACAAGGGCATTGGTTGTCTTCTGATGCTTTCCTAGGCACATTAGCAGAGAGCTGGATCAGAAATAGAGCAGGCAGGATTCACATCAGCACCCATATCAGATTCCAGGCTATAGGTAGCATCTTTACCTGCTACAGTATAGCCCCACTCCAATGGATTTTTCAAATTACGCTTTTGTAGGAGAGGACTCCATTCTCCCTTCTATTCCCAGACAGTGATATTTTGTTCAAATAATGTTTTATGATTAGGATGGAAAGATCAGTTGTTTTAAGCAGGTTACCTGAAATGTTACAAAGACCTTGAGTTTTAAAGCCTGTCAGTCTTAGTTATTATCTCTGTCTTTTCTGTAATAGTTATGTAAATTTTAAAATATCATATCGGGGCTGACATAGTGGCTTATCAAACTAATGCAGCACCAGCATCTGATGTAGGGGCTTGTTATCGTCCAGCTGCTCCATTTCCAATCAAGCTCCTTGCCCATGGCTTGGGAAAACAGCAGAAGACAGTTTAAGTACTTGGGCCCCTATGCCCGTGTAGGAAACATGGAAGAAATTCCTGGCTTCAGATTGGCTCGGCTCTGGATTTTATGGTTATGGCCATTTAGGGAGTGAACCAGCAGGTGGAAAACTTTTTTTTTACCCTCCCCATCCTCACCCCAGAAAAACATTCTTTTTCCCTGTCTCTCCTTCTCTGTCTTTAAGATATCTGCCTTTCAAATAAAAATAAATCTTTAGAAAAATTGTATAAGTAAAATAGTGGTGCATCTTACTATTTAGGAAGTCAACTTTCCTGCTCTTTACACAATTAGATTCAGTAAATCAAAAGTAATACTAGCAGAACCAGAGTTGTGGTGAAGCACGCTAAGCCTCCATCTGTAACTCCAGCATCCAATATGGGCAACCAGTTTAGTGTCTTCACTTCTAGTCCAGCTCCCTGTTAATGCACTCACATGGAAAGCGTGGTCGGAATTCCAGGCCATTGGCTTTGGCCTGCCCAGCCCCAGCCATTATGGCCATTTGGGGAATGAGCCAGCAGATAAAAGAGATTTCTCTCCCCGCTTCCTTTTCTTCTCTCTCTCCCTCCTCCTCTCCCTTTCTATTCCTTTTCCCTCCCTCTTTCTTTGTAATGCTGCCTTTTCAAATTAATAAGTTTTTAAATGACTGTACCATCAATTTTAAGATATACCATGATAGGCAGTTCAGCTATTACTTTAGATAGTGTAAGAGTATCAAAACTATGCTCTCTTT